ATAGCTGTAGAGAACCACATCTATCTAGGTTACAGATCCCGGAGGCAGCAGTTGGATGCGGCCATCACGGTTGGCAGGAGTTTTGGTTTGTCCACCACGCACAAGATGATCTACATACATGCGTATCCATCGAGAGAAAGGAGGAGAGGTCGATGGCCGGTGTATGTAGTATGCATACGTCTCATGGCACCGTGCAACTAGGTTGCCACCGAGGGGGGGGGTTCTTGTTTCTTTTTCCATACGAAAGAAGGGTTGTCCGTAGACCCCATACAAAACATGTCATATACAAGGGGTAAACACAGATTGTAACACATTTCCCGTACGTCTCGGCATACATTACCAACAGCAGTGTTGAGCTGTCAGCCAGTCTTCGAAAAGTGGCGGTAGTGTCCAATGACGGTACCTGCCCGCCCCCACCACCCGGGTGTCTCTGCTCTTTGGTTTGTCGATCCCATCGCACGGCCCTATCACGACCGTTTCATCTTGTACCTTGCCAGAACGCGGAGCTCGCGTCGGCGGCGCATGCCGAAGTGGAGCTCTTGTTCCGTGGGGTTTCGCGCGGCATCAGCGATGCCAAGGTGAACGATGATGGACGGCATTCAGTCGTGCCAAGCCAGCCCGTGGCCGCTTAACTTGTGGTGACAACACGAACTAGACTTCTTTTGGGATGATGGTGAGTGGGAGTCGGCAACAACACAGCCGCGAGGTGGAGAAGACAAGCTCCGACAGCGACGGCAACGCCGACAACGACAACGGGAGAAGCAGCGATAACCACAACATTAATCGTGCTTCGTAGTTCGTACGAGAGGTTAATAGACTCGCTGCGAATGTGCGCCTACGGGAATAGAAAACCTCAACGTACAGAATTGTTGTCCTCGTGATAGATAGATGCGAGGAGGTTTGACGTAACAAGCTCACACGAGTGTTTTTTCAGCGCCAAAGTATGCGGAGGAGGGTGTGTATATGCCCCCTGAGGTGGCTTGTACCCTACCCCCGCCGCTGCAGGTTTCCTCGGCCGTTTCTCGGGCCAACGGCCAGCGTACGTACGCCTTCAACGGACAGAGGCTGCCCAAGCACAGGCAAGACCTTGTTGTTCTCCCACAACACTATGTACTGCAGAAACGAGTGTATACGGTTGCAATATTTCTTGTTTTATCCCCCGCGCGGTCCAAGAAGAATGGTGGTTTTCGGTATGATTGTATGATTGTATAGCACCACAGGTTGCCCTGTCCGCGTGCTTGTTGTCGCTTGATAGTAGTGGATGGCGGAAGAGGCGTCGACGGCGATGGCGGGTAGCCGTCCCCTTGGCAGGCCTGCAAGTGTACGTAGCCCTTCGAGTTGTTAGGCCCGATACGGAAATAGTGCGCATGAATTATGAAGCACATGTACGTGGGTTGTGAGCTCGTTGTGTTGGTACCAACGATTGAAGAAGAATAAGCGCAATGTGTTGTGCTGGACCAAAGACAGCAGAAGTTCACGCGCATCATTCAGATCTGACAATCAGACCGTTTTTCGAAGGCACTCGTAAAGTGGAGAGAGCGATTTAGCACCCACATATATGGGGCTCGCGGTGTTGGTGTAAATCAGTCGGTTTTCCGAAACGTTTAGAGCGAGGAATATGTAGCCATAATCAAGTACCGACGAACGTCAGATTTGTTGTGCGTTTTGGGCCCTTTTGGTCCTGGCCGGGTTAAAGGAAGTATATTTTAGGGGCTGAGTCTGCCAGCGATGGTGGGACAGTGGGACAGAAAAACCTCCTCACCCACCTCTTGTCCAGGTTCGTTCCCGGGGTAGCGTACAGCCAAACCTCCGTGCGATCGATTGAAGAACAGTTGGCTGTGGCACTACTGAACGATCGCTTGTGTTACGACCCTATCTAGTGGGAGATATGTGGTATAAGCTACAGAATGCCACAGGGAGGGGGGAAAGCACGTATTAAGGACTTTCTCGTACGCCTGACTGCAGTGCTTCGTCTTGGAAGAGTCTCCATCGCCACATGGCCAAGGCGAGCATAAAATGAGTCCCGCCCCGCTCGCCCATTACACCTGTACCCCCCGCCGGCTGTAGCGTGCTTGCCTTTGTTGACCATCCCACCTGCATTATCTTGTCCGCCCAGGTTCGATCACTTCCTCCGGACACGCCTCGGCATCGCTACGGGCAACCCTTTCTGGAGGGTCAGCCAGGACGGCATCCACCGCCTGGTACGTGTGCGTGGCTGCCTGATAAATCCCGCATGCGCCATCGAGATCATTCGACCACGCTTGTTTAGCGCGAGTGCTTGACAACTCCGCACACCAATCGCTGTGCGCTCCCCCCTTCCAACCAAGCCTGCCTAGCCCACAGAAAGGTATGCATAAGTCGGCGGAAGGAAGGAGTGTCGTTCTGCGACTTGTCTCGCGCGCGAGTCGTTTTCGTGCCACCCTTTTCGCAGCAGGTTGCAGGGAGCTACGTGCATACGTATCTCTTGCAGTTTTGACGAAACGGCTGTTGTTTGGTTGTTGCCTGTCGTGGCGTCGTCGGCGAAGTCACATACAAGCATATGGCATCATATGATGTTTGGCAGAGTGCGAACGGCAGAATCTGGAGAGAATTCAAGACCGCCGTAGGATGATGGATTGCATTCTCGTGGTGTGTTCTAATACACTGACAACAGCCTGTTTTATGACAGGTGAATGGTGTGAGGCTCTAGACTCTCTCCCACCCCCTTCCCTATCGAGGGCGACGCAACCCGGTCGTGTTTGCATAGTCGTGCGTCGTGGCCCGCAACCGTTGCAGGGCAGCACGCGTCCGTGAGGTGTGAGGTGTGTGCCCCGTACCCAGCAACTCTGGCCTGCTCAGCGTTAGGCTGGGTGGGTGGCTAAACATGTAGCATATCCCGCTTCCGCACACTTCCCTTTTACCGACAACCACATGTGTTCCTTTTTTCCTTACTGTGTTTTTCGCCCACTCCCGGTACTCGTCTTAAAAAGCTTCTCCTGCTGCACTGCTACAAGTATCCTTGTGGCCTCCCCTCTCACTACCACCGCCATGAGTCATGGGGTCTTGGTGTCTGCGCCATCATCACCAACAACAAACCCGCACGCGCCACCGCCTTCATCGTGGCGGTGCCCTCGTTACCCCCCCCCCCCCCCCCCCCCCCCCCCCCCCCCCCCCCCCCCCCCCCCCCCCCCCCCCCCCCCCC